TGAGGTGGGGCACGCTGTGGCATTATCAGCTTTTGCTGTTGGTGTAGGAGGGGGGAAATTATACACTAAATGCCTTCCAAAAAAGCAGGCAAAGCATCTAAAATTGGACACTCTAACATGGCCAATTTAATTTACGAACTAGGAGAAGCACGAAAGTCAAAACACATTTTTTCGAAAGCGTAGGGCCAGCAAGGGGCAAGAAATCGTAACTAAGGATCAGGCAGACAGAGACTGAAGAGATAGAGGGACACAAAAAAACCCCCCTTCCAAAAAATCAAGGAATCCAGGGCCTCCCAGCAGCCCCTTCAGTCCCTTGCCCCTGTTGTCCCCTGTTGCCCCAAACCTCAGGGTTCCCTCTTGCATATTCATGGGGGAACCACAGTGTTGATGTGTACTTCCCCACTGTCAGCTCTGCTGCACCTTGTGTGGCGCCAGGTCCCGACGGGCCTCACAGAGGCTAGGCCGTGAGCCCCTTGCCTGCTGCTCCCCTGATGAGGCAACAGTTTCTCTGAAATGAGCTGCCGCCCAGGAGCAGGCAGGCACCAGTCTGTCTTTCCTTTTCTGGTAATTACCTCAGTTCACTGAGCCCACTTCTGGGCAGCCCCGGATTGAGGGATCTTCAAAATCGATGTCACGTGCCATTCTAAAGTCTCAATCGCAAGGGGTCCCCTTTAGCTCCGTCTCCAAGACGCGAAATGCAGACACCATCAGAAAGCCCAGAATATTCTTCTTCCACCATGCCTTACGGCCGAGCCAACACAAGGTAGAACAATGCAGTTGCGCTTGCACCCGTGTTAAGATACTACTGGGTGAGTGGACCAATTCAGCAAGCGCGTCCAAAGGGAGTAACCGTCTCGGTATGGTGACTTGTGCGTGGCAGGAGAGACAGTCACAAAACCCCACCCACACAGTGCAGCTTCGGTGCTGATCAGGCAGGGAAACAGCAGGCGTAAAACAGCAGGGGTGGGGGGAGGGGTACTCTGCATCATCGCACCCCTCCCCTACTCGAGAAAGGTGGGGGCCTGCATGGAGAATCACGCCAGGAGAGCGCACACCAGCCTCCACACCTGGCCCTTGACCCCACCCCCTGCCCTGTGCACCACTGTGGCTATGGCTGCCTGCTCGCGTCGTTCCCCAAAACACCATGCCGTGGTCCACTCCCTCAATCCTTTATCGCAAAAAACAGGGTTTTTGATTTTGGATATGGGATTTCTGCTGATTTATCAAATGCGGCGCATTTCGCCTTGGCTTGACAGAAGACAAACCATTTA